CCTCTGGAGGCTCAGCAATTGCGTCAGACCTTTCATACGGTGCCTCCGACCACATTTTCGGATCAAGCATAAATTGGCTCTTATGCTCAACAAGGCCAAGGAGTAGTATTCCCTTTATAGTGCACTACATTTGACCAGAACCCTATATGCCTCAGGCATCCTCACCAGGACCAGATGCCTATCAGCATCACCATTAGGTTCTGGGCTGTTTCTGTCAGCAACACCTACCCCACCATACCTTCAGTTCAGCACCTCATCTGCCTGTCAGAGAGCAGCAGCTCTTACGCGGCTGAGATGTCTCATTACGGAACACCATCATTTAAAGGAGCAAAGCTTTCATCACCCATGGGAGATGTCACTTCTTTTTTTTGTGCATTTTAATTATTCAACTGAGCTTGTTAGAGTTATATAGCTGTTCAGTTCCTTGATATGGTACTACCGTCTAGTAATAGATTGTTAATAGATTATGAATAAGGCAGTTATTAACGCTCTATTACTTGTCCTGGCTCCTTTTTTTAGATAACAGGGGTGTATTCTATTTTCTCTCATTATACAACTACAGTCACCCCCAGAACAGAGTTTTTCTGCCCAACAACCCACCCACACACCCACACCCATGTCATGTTAACAAAAAGAGTGACTACATTATGCGTGTCAAATAAAATAAAATAAAATGATATTTGCCACATGCGCTGAATACAACAGGTGTAGACATTACTGTGAAATCCTTACTTACAGCCCTTAACCAACAATGCATTTATTTTTTTTAATAAAAAAGTACAATAAAACAACAACAAAAAAGTGTAAATAAAAGTAAAGTAAAATAACAGTAGGGAGGCTATATACAGGGGGGTACCGTTGCAGAGTCAATGTGCGGGGGCACCGGCTAGTTGAGGTAATATGTACATGTGGGTAGAGTTAAAGTGACTATGCATGTGTCCCACAATTATTGGCACCCCTAACAATTCAGCTGAAATTTTTAATTGATTTTTAAAAAAATAAATTTTTCTGTAGTTGCTAAAGTTGGTCAGGGTATCTAGGAACTTTTAATATGTAATTCTTGACTTCCTGTTCCCCTGGGGTATAAATATGACGTGACACAGAGGCCTAATTCTCTTACCCATTTGTCAACATGGCAAAGACAAGAGAACACACCATTCAAGTAAGGCAGATTTGTGTCGACCTTCATAAGTCAGGCAATGGCTACAAGAAAATAGCCACTCGCCTTAACTTGCCCGTATCTACAGTCAGAGGAATCATTAAGAAGTTTAAAACAACTGGAACAGTGACAAACAAGGCTGGAAGAGGTCCCAAGTTTATCTTGCCACAACGCACAGTGAGGAGGATGGTAAGAGAAGTAAAAAAAAGTCCTAAGCTCACTGTCACAGAATTGCATCAAAGAGTGGCATCTTGGGGTCACAAAGTCTCCAAAACAACCATCAGACGCTCTCTACATGCCAACAAGCTGTTTGGGAGGCATGCAAGGAAAAAGCCTTTTCTCACTAACACTCACAAACGTAAACGTCTGGAGTTTGCTAAGCGGCACTGGGACTTCAACTGGGATCGTGTGCTTTGGTCAGATGAGACTAAGATTGAGCTTTTTGGCAACAAACACTCTAAGTGGGTCTGGCGTAAAACAAAAGATGAGTATGCCGAAAAGCACCTCATGCCCACCGTGAAGTATGGTGGAGGATCTGTGATGCTGTGGGCCTGTTTCTCTTCCAAAGGCCCTGGGAACCTTGTTAGGGTGCATGGCATTTTGAACGCTTTGAACTACCAGGACATTTTAAATAAAAACCTGATGCTGAAGATGGGTCGTCATTGGGTCTTTCAGCAGGATAATGATCCAAAACATGTGGCAAAATCTACACAAAAATGGTTCAGCAGTCACAAACTCAAGGTCCTCCCATGGCCATCTCAGTCCCCAGACCTCAACCCAAAATAATTAACAGAGTAGCAGCAGTGTAAAAAGATGGGGTGGGGGTGGGGGGGCAGTGCAATAGTCCGGGTAGCCATGATTAGCTGTTCAGGAGTCTTATGGCTTGGGGGTAGAAGCTGTTGAGAAGCCTTTTGGACCTAGACTTGGCGCTCCGGTACCACTTGCCGTGCGGTAGCAGAGAGAACAGTCTATGACTAGGGTGGCTTGAGTCTTTGACAATTTTGAGGGCCTTCCTCTGACACCGCCTGGTATAGAGGTCCTGGATGGCAGGAAGCTTGGCCCCAGTGATGTACTGGGCCGTAAGCACTACCCTCTGTAGTGCCTTGCGGTCGGAGGCCGAGCAGTTGCCATACCAGGCGGTGATGCAACCAGTCAGGATGCTCTCGATGGTGCAGCTGTAGAACTTTTTGAGGATCTGAGGACCCATGCCAAATCTTTTCAGTCTCCTGAGGGGGAATAGGCTTTGTCGTGCACTCTTCACGACTGTCTTGGTGTGTTTGAACCATGATAGTTGGTTGGTGATGTGGACACCAAGGAACTTGAAGCTCTCAACCTGTTCCACTACAGCCCCATTGATGAGAATAGGGGCGTGCTCAGTCCTCTTTTTTTCCCCCTGTAGTCCACAATCATCTACTTTGTCTTGGTCACGTTGAGGGAGAGGTTGTTGTCCTGGCACCACACGGCCAGGTCTCTGACCTCCTCCCTATAGTTGTCTCATCGTTGTCGGTGATCAGGCCTACCACTGTTGTCGTCGGAAAACTTAATAATGGTGTTGGAGTCGTGCCTGGCCATGCAATCATGGGTGAACAGGGAGTACAGGAGGGGACTGAGCATGCACCCCTGAGGGGCCCCCGTGTTGAGGATCAGCGTGGCAGATGTGTTGTTACCTACCCTTACCACCTGGGGGCGGCCCGTCAGGAAGTCCAGGATCCAGTTGCAGAGGGAGGTGTTTAGTCCCAGGATCCTTAGCTTAGTGATGAGCTTTGAGGGCACTATGGTGTTGAAAGCTAAGCTGTAGTCAATGAATAGCATTCTCACGTAGGTGTTCTTCTTGTCCAGGTGGGAAAGGGCAGTGTGGAGTGCAATAGAGATTGCATCATCTGTGGATCTGTTGGGGCGGTATGCAAATTGGAGTGGGTCTAGGGTTTCTGGGATAATGGTGTTGATGTGAGCCATGACCAGCCTTTCAAAGCACTTCATGGCTACAGACGTCAGTGCTACGGGTCGGTAGTCATTTAGGCAGGTTATCTTAGTGTCCTTGGGCACGGGGAATATGGTGGTCTGCTTGAAACATGTTGGTATTACAGACTCATTACATTTACGTCATTTAGCAGACGCTCTTATCCAGAGCGACTTACAGTTAGTGAGTGCATACATTATATATATTTTTTATTTTTCATACCCCCCGTGGGAATCGAACCCACAACCCTGGTGTTGCAAACGCCATGCTCTACCAACTGAGCTACATCCCTGCCAGCCATTCCCTCCCCTACCCTGGACGATGCTGGGCCAATTGTGCGCCGCCCCATGTGTCTCCCGGTCGCGGCCAGCTACGACAGAGCCTGGATTCGAACCAGGATCTCTAGTGGCACAGCTAGCACTGCAATGCAGTGCCTTAGACCACTGCGCCACTCAGTCAGGGACATGTTGAAAATGTCAGTGAAGACACTTGCCAGTTGGTCAGCACATGCTCGGAGTACACGTCCTGGTAATCCGTCTGGCCCTGCGGCCTTGTGAATGTTGACCTGCTTAAAAGTCTTACACATAGAAGTGGTTTAGCTCGTCTGGTAGGCTTGTGTCACTGGGCAGCTCGCGGCTGTGCTTCCCTTTGTAGTCTGTAATAGTTTTCAAGACCTGCCACATCCGACGAGCGTCAGAGCCGGTGTAGTACGATTTCAATCTTAGTCCTGTATTGACTCTTTGCCTGTTTGATGGTTCGTCGGAGGGCATAGCGGTATTTCTTTTAAGCGTCCGGGTTAGAGTCCTGCTAGGGGAGATAGTAGGACAACTCTATCTAACCGTTTTCTGACAGTATTATTGGTTGCCAGGGTGTTCTGCTAAAGATAATATTTAGTTTTCTGTTCGGTTCCTAAATGATGAATGAGATTCAGTTTTTGTAAATGTTTAATGGTTTGAGACAAAAGGGAAGAAAAATAGTGTGTGTGTGTGTTTTAACGTGTCAGTGCCAGTTAAGATCCAGGCCTGTGTTATGTTTGTGAAGGCTTTATGAGTGCTGGGTGGAGTGGCATGTTTGTGAGACAGCTTCTCTGTTTGACGTAGGCTGAATTGCACAGAGGCTGACATAAAAGTGCACAGAGTAATCTCTCTATCACTCACAGCTCTACAGCTTTACAACCCCATAAATGTCCTCCTGACTGCCAGCCTGGCATCCCAAGGAGGGTTGGGATCAAACACCATGCCAGTTATACACCACCTGATACACTCCATTGATTTAGAGTTGGTCAGCTTTGGTTTCCCGGACACAGATTAAGTCTAGTTCTAGTATAAAAAGCAGTAGTCCTAGACTAAATAAGATTTGCCATTAAGCATGCTTTTTAGTCCAGGGCTCGGCTTAATCTGTGAAACCGGCCCTTAGTTTTGACCGTGGTTGGTCCGGCATCCACTTTAGTAATGTGTAAACTGCTGCAGCAGCGTTTCAACAATGTCTGATTGCTTGGTATTGATTAGCTGATTGAATGGGCTTGTTCTGGTCCTTTGCTTGTTTTCATGTTTTTGTCCACTTTCAGTGGGTTTCAAACATCAATCAAATTTCCCTCAATAGTACTCAGGAATATGTCACTTTGCCTTCAATGGTGCTCTGATTGCATGGCTTGAAATGAACAGCTCTTTGTTTGCAAAGGGCTGGATAGGCTAGTGTCTGTCTACCCCACCTCTTGTTATTATGTTTCCAGAAATAAATATGTTTCCAGTAATTTTGAAATCGTAAGGTTGAAGTTTAAGCTCTATGTTGACTTTGAGGTAGTGTAAGTGACTTCACTACTTTATTCACGCTTTCATTCTCTCTCTATCTTTCCTCCTATCCCTCTCTTTCACTCTACAGTACAAACAAGTGGAGCAGTATATGTCCTTCCACAAGCTGCCGGCTGACTTCCGACAGAAAATCCATGACTATTACGAGCACCGGTACCAGGGGAAGATGTTTGATGAAGAGAGCATCCTGGAAGAGCTGAATGAACCACTCAGAGAGGTAATTCCCTGCCTAGACATGCACACCATGAACACACACACAGTTCACGCGCACACACACACACACACACACACACACACACACACACACACACACACACACACACACACACACACAAACATTACTAACAAACTATGTCTATCCAATATTCAGGAAATTGTCAATTTCAACTGTCGTAAGCTGGTGGCATCCATGCCACTGTTCGCCAACGCAGAGCCCAACTTTGTGACGGCCATGTTGATCATGCTACGCTTCGAGGTCTTCCAGCCCCGTGATTACATTATCAGAGAGGGCACCATCGGCAAGAAGATGTACTTTATCCAGCACGGAGTCTGTAACGTCATCACTAAGGGAACCCTGGGAATGAAGCTCTCTGATGGCTCCTACTTTGGAGGTATGGGCCTGAACCACAATACACACAGAGTTCAATTTAATTCATATTTAGACATAATGAGATCACTGGAGACAGTGCTTTCTGTGTTTTGCTTTACATCTTTGTACTCTATGTCCATGTTCTCAAATTATGAAGTGCTTTGTGTGTTCGGGTATTCCTGTGTCCCTCGGCTCTCAAAACTAGCATAACCAGTACTTTATTGTAAGTGTAAGACAATCCCAGATGACTGGTAGCTGAACAGATACTGTGTGGTTTCTACAGTATATTTTAAACATAATTAAATAGAACATTATTATATTGTATCTCTGCGACATTTTGATCTATCTCTGTTTCCTGACCCTGTTTCCCTTTTCCAGAGATCTGTTTGCTGACACGTGGCCGGCGGACTGCCAGTGTCAGAGCGGAGACGTACTGTCGTCTCTACTCCCTGTCTGTGGATAACTTCAATGAGGTTCTGGAGGAGTACCCCATGATGAGACGGGCCTTCGAGACCGTGGCCATCGACCGACTGGACCGCATAGGTACTGAAGCAAGCTCTGGGCCCTGTACCAATGCACCTTGCTTGTACCTTCTGTGCGCCCTTCCTCAAAGTAATCACTGGTCTGACAGTACTGTATCTGTGAAAGCTGTGGAAGCCTTGCTTTCATCCATCCAGGTGTTAGATCAATGATAACCAAGGGAGGAAGGAAGAATGCATTTTAAAGTAGTCAAATATGACCCTCGTTTTACTGCTTCTCTCCCTTGAAAGAGAGTAATAAGCTACCTGTGTGATAGTCGTTTTCGTGCTAGTGGTACCCAGGTGGTTCCACAGATAAAGGTTATTATAGTTTTGTGATTGTATATTAGTTTTTAATTGTATTCATTTTTTTAAATTGTTCGTTTTTGTTTTTGTTCATTTTCAGACCTGATCTGCTAGTTTTTATTTAGTTTTAGTTGTATCAAAATATTTATATTTTGTTTTTAAATTATTCCATTTCAGTTTAAGTTTTAGTGTTCGGGACAGAAAGCATGCGTGTGAGGCATGGAGACATTTGTGTTGGATGGTTTTTTGGTGTTTTTTAGGATGTTACTTCTTGCCACTGGGGGGCAGTAATACATAAGGTGATGGGTCAGGTTCTAGGTTTGATTAGGTTTAAATTATAAAGTCACTTTCATTGTGACTTGAATTTAAAAGGAATAGTGCTGAGACTGCTGCAAAAACAATATGGTGGAAGGAAACTCTCTTTCACCATATTTACACCAATCCAATGCTTTTTAACTTTAGTAGTACATGTAAGAAGAATCAAGTTAGCTACCTAGCCACATTTTTCCCTGTTAGCTAGTGATAGCTAGTGATTGTGATGCACAAGCCAAAAAAGTATAATTTTTTTGTTACAAATTTCATGATGTTTTATTTTATTTTATTTAAGTTCGTTTTCAAGTCAAAGATAATAGTTTCAGTATAGTTTTAATTTTTCAAACGGGTTTGTAAATTATTTTATTTCAGTTTACTAAATCGTTTTTTCAAGATTAGTTGTATTTTTAGTTTCAGTTTTAGTTTATTATAATAACCTTGCCACATATGCTGCAGACACACCAGTGTTCCAACCAATCGAGACTTGCGACAGATTTATTAAGTGGATGCACCTGTTATTTTCACAAGGGAGAAGAGGACAAAAACAAGGCTTGAAATATGACAGTTGTTTTATTGATACTTCATCTTCATATTGGATCCTAATATTACGTATTGATATAAATGTTTTTTTATTTTACCTTATGTTATATATTTTTATGTTTTACTCCCTCTTAGAAATAGCAGATGCAAACTTATCTATGAAAAAGATCTCTAGCCCAGGCAGTCAGTTGAGTAATACTGTTGCCTCAGCATGCTATAGGACAGTGTTAATTGATAAAGTGACACTATGACCCTCTTGTTCTCAGTATTTTCCTTGAGCATTGCTTCTTGCCCAAAAATATACCTAGTTTGAAGGTCAGAACATACCGTCTGTGATCCTCCTCCCTTATCTCTTAATTTGTTCTTCCTACTTCTCCTCCTCCCTTGTCCTCCTCTTCCTTCTACCTCATCATTTTCTACTCTTCTCCTCCTCTTCACTTCATCACAGGCAAGAAGAACTCCATTCTGATGCACAAAGTGCAGCACGACCTCAACTCTGGCGTCTTCAACAACCATGAGAATGAGATGATCCAGGAGATCGTCAAGTACGACCGTGAGATGGTCAAACTGGTGGACCTCCAGAGACCCCGCACCATGTCCATGACTTCCTCTGTCCCCGGGAGCATGTTCTCCCCCGCAGGGCCTTCCGGGGCTGGGGCCCTCGCCAGCCTCCAGCAGGCTGTGGCCATGAGCTTCTGCCCCCAGGGGATGGGGCCGATGGGGGGAATGGGGATGCCGGGGATGGGGCTGATGGGTATGCCGATGGGTATGCCGATGGGTATGGGTATGGGGACTGGGCCGATGGGGCCAGGTCCGATGGGAACGGGGATGGCGTCTGGTTCGGGGTCAGGGACGCTGCAGTCCCCACGCATGTTGCGGAGGTTCCAGGTGGTCCATAGCCTGTCCCAGAGCCCAGTCTCTGCATCCCCTCTCCAGTCCCAGCCACCCCAGATGGCTCATGCAACAGGGGCGTTTGGGTCAGCTATCTCCAGCCCACCAGTCCAGAGCCCTCTGGCGCACCCGGGACGGACATTCCAGTACATGGGAGGCGTGGGGCCCTCTGGGTCTCAGTTGTCCCTGGTGCAGCACCACGTTCCCAGCCCCACGCACACCATCCAGAGGCCCTCCTCGTACAAGAGCACCCACTCCCTCCACTCGGGCACCCTGAGCCAAGACGCCCGTGCCCTGTCCTCCTCCCAGCTCTCCCTCCCTCAGGAAGGAACCCCTGCCGCCACCCCCAGCCCTCCCCAATCAACCCACCCATCCACCCACGCCTCCTCCACCTCCATCGGCCCCCCTCAGCCCACTCACCCTAGCCAGCCGGGGCCCTCCGGGGTGGGGGTCCAGGTTGGGGGAAGACCTGCGGGAGCTCCACAACGTGTGGCCTTCGCCTCTACTCCTCCCCCAGGAGGAGCACCTGGGATGGGGGCGGCTGTGGCGGCAACTGGGTCGGGGCTCCTGGACTCTGGGGTCACCAACAAGGATTAGATCGATAGCCTACCGGAGTTAGACTCGGCCCGGAGCCGGCTGTCTTCCAACTTGTGACCCTATGAGAGGTGCAGAATAGAGGCCTTTACGTGGGTGAATGTAAACCTCTGTTTGAATGACCTGACTGGTTGGCTTCCTTACCGACCTGGCCGGCTGAATACGGGCCACATCGTCAGTCATTCATACAGAATGTCTTGTGTGTCGGTCGGAGTCAACGAAGAGGAAAGAGGAACTCTGTGACAGAGAGTCTAAACAATTAAACTAGTTTAACAAAAGGTGAGACTGGACTGTTCTACTGTGCCAGCACCTTTATTCTTAGTAGCACCCCTTACACTCTGCTTCCAAACACTTATATCGCTGTCTTTATTGTAAAGATATTGAGAAAGAAATAATTGTTGCATACTGTGTAGACTCCATACAGTGCAATCTAGCAGGAGCTGGACTTAAAAACGAAACATCAGGGACTTGAATCAAAGGACAATGATGACATTTTACGCTTTCAGAACGTGTTTTTGGGTGTCCTTTTTTTCTGTATATGCTGTTGTAGCAAAAATAAATACATTGCTCTTGACATTGTTTAAAATAGTAGTGAAAATAGTGTTTTAGACCGCTGGTCGATCTTACATCGATATGCAAATAGTTTAAATAGTTTAAAAAATGACCGAAAGATAATATCTTCATTGTATCTATTCCAAACCAAAGTTGAGCTTGAACACAAATTTTGGTTGTGTCTGTATCAACTAAAAAAGAAATATACAGTGCATTCGGAAAGTATTCAGACCCCTTGACTTTTTCCAGATTTTGTTATGTTACAGCCTTATTCTAAAATTGATTAAATTGTTTTTTTTCCCTCATCAATCTACACAAAATACCCCATAATGACCATGCAAAAACAGTTTTGTTGAACATTTTTGCAATCTATTAAAAATAAAAAACAGATATCACATTTACATAAGTATTCAGACCCTTTACTCAGTACATTGTTAAAGCACATTTGGCAGCGATTACAGCCTCGAGTCTTCTTGGGTATGACGCTACAAGCTTGGCACAGCTGTATTTGGAGAGTTTCTCCCTTTCTTCTCTGCAGATCCTCTCAAGCTCTGTCAGGTTGGATAGGAAGCGTTGCTGCACAGCTATTCTCAGGTCTCTCCAGAAATGTTAGATCGTGTTCAAGTCCGGGCTCTGGCTGGGCCACTCAAGGACATTCAGAGACTTTGTCTTGGCTGTGTGCTTAGGGTCGTTGTCCTTTTGGAAGGAGAACCTTCGCCCCAGTCTGAGGTCCTGAACGCTCTCGAGCAGGTTTTCATCAACCCTGACTAGTCTCCCAGTCTCTGCCGCTGAAAAACATCCCCACAGCATGATGCTGCCACCACCATGCTTCACCGTAGGGATGGTGCCAGGTTTCCTCCAGATGTGACGCTTGGCATTCAGGCCAAAGAGTTAAATCTTGGTTTCATCAGACCAGAGAATCTTGTTTCTCAGAGTCTTTAGGTGCCTCTTTAGGTGCCTTTTGGCAAACTCCAAGCGGGCTGCCTTTTACTGAGGAGTGGCTTCCATCTGGCCACTCTACCATAAAGGCCTGATTGGTGGAGTGCTGCAGAGATGGTTGTCCTTCTGGAAGGTTCTCCCATCTCCACAGAGGAATTCTAGAGCTCTGTCAGAGTGACCATCGGGTTCTTGGTCACCTCCCTGACCAAGGCCCTTCTCCCCCGATTGCTCAGTTTGGCCGGGCGGCCAGCTCAAAGAAGAGTCTTGGTGGTTCCAAACTTCTTCCATTTAAGAATGATGGAGGCCACTGTGTTCTTGGGGACCTTCAATGCTGCAGAAAGGTTTTGGTACCCTTCCCCAGATCTGTGCCTCGACACAATCCTGTCTCAGAGCTTTACGGACAATTCCTTCGACCTCATGGCTTGGTTATTGCTCTGACATGCAATGTCAACTGTGGGACCTTATATAGGCAGTTGTGTCCCTTTCCAAATCATGTCCAATCAATTGAATTTACCACAGGTGGACTCCAATCAAGTTGTAGAAACATCTCAAGGATGATCAATGGAAACAGGATGCACCTGAGCTCAATTTCGAATCTCATAGCAAAGGGTCTGAATACTTATGTAAATAAGGTATTTCTGTTTTTTAAATGTAATACATTTTCAATCATTTCTAAAAATGTCTTCGCTTTGTCATTATGGAGTATTGTTTGTAGATTGCTGAGGATTTGTATTTATTTAATCTATTTTAGAATATGACTGTAACGTTTTTAAAAATGTCAAGGGGTCTGTATTCTTTCCGAAGGCACTGTAGAAGAAAATGCCATTTATTTAACTGCCTTGATTCCAAGTTTAGAAGCCATATTTTTGGTTTGTGTGGGTGTGTGTGTATATATGTGTGTGTGTGTGTGTGTGTGTGTGTGTGTGTGAGTTGGTATGCATGTTTTTGGTTCCATGCTGTTTTTCCAAGAGAGCTGACTCGTGTACTCATATCTTTACACTGCTTTATCAGGCACGGTTGATTGGATTTGCTGGCAATGGCACAGGCAATATTTCCCAGCTTCTATGTCCAGCTAAATGTGTCTGGGAAGATATCCACTTGTCATGTCAGCAGAAATATACATATCGTGACACTGGAGTCAAAAATAGTGGTAAATCATCTGAGCTTTATCAAAAAGAACCATTCCAAACAACACATACTGTATACTTGCTTGTTTTCATCCAGGTTTATTGATTAATACATGCAATATAATTCTGCAATACTCTTACCTTGCCTATATGTATATACACTCAGTGGCCAGTTTGTTAGGTACACCACCCTGTTGACGAAAATGGTTTGCTCCTAGTGAGTCACGTGGCCTTGTTATATAAAGCAGGCAGACAGGCATCGAGGCATTCAGTTACTGTTCGATTGAATGTTAGAATGGGCAACACAAGTGACCTAAGTTACCGTGAGCGTGGCTTTTCATGCACGACAGTGTCTAGGGTTTACTGAATGGTGTGACAAATAAAAAAACATCCAGTCAGCGGCAGTCCTGTGGGCGAAAACAGCTCGTTGATGAGAGGTCGAAGGAGAATGGCAAGAATTGTGCATGCTAACAGGCGGGCCACAAACAGGCAAATAACGGTGCAGTACAACAGTGATGTGCAGAGCGGCATCTCGGAACGCACAACTCGTCGGTCCTTGTCACGGATGGGCTATTGCAGCAGACAACCACGCCGGGTTCCACTCCTATCAGTTAAAAACAAGAAGAAGCGGCTCCAGTGGGCACGCGATCACCAACACTGGACAATATTGAGAAGTGGAAAAACATTTCCTGGTCCGACGAATCCCGGTCCCTGTTGCGTCATGCTGATGGCAGAGTCAGGATTTGGCGTAAGCAGCATGAGTCCATGGCCCCATCTTGCCTGATGTCAATGGTACAGGCTGGTGGCGGTGGTGCAATGGAGAGGGAATTGTTTTCCTGGCACACATTAGGTCTCTTGATACCAATTGAGCAACGTTTTCATGTCCAGAAGAATTCAGGCTGTTCTGGAGGCAAAGGGAGGTCTGCCCGGTACTAGATGGGTGTACCTAATAAACTGGCTATATATATATATATATATATATATATATATATATATATATATATATATATAGTGCCTTCAGAAAGTATTCATACCCCTTGGCTTATTCCACATTTTGTTGTGTTACAGCCTGAATTTAAAATGAATTAAATATATTTTTTTCCTCACCCATCTACACACAATACCCCATAATGACAAAGTGAAAACAGGTTTTTAGCAAATGTATTGAAAATGAAATACAGAAATATCTCTTTTACATAAGTATTCACACCCCTGAGTCACTAGTTTATAGAAGCACCTTTGGCCGCGATTACAGCTGTGAGTCTTTCTGGGTAAGTCTCTAAGAGCTTTCCACACCTGAATTATGCAACATTTGCCCGTTATTCTTTTCTAAATTCTTCAAGCTCTGTCAAATCGGTTGTTGATCATTGCTAGACAACCATTTTCAGGTCTTGACATAGATTTTAAAGTAGATTTAAGTCAAAACTGTAACTCGGCCACTCAGGAACATTCACTGTCTTCTTGGTAAGCAAATCCAGTGTAGATTTGGCCTTGTGTTTTAGGTTATTGTCCTGCTGAAATGGGAATTCATCTCCCAGTGTCTGGTGGAAAGCAGACGGAACCAGGTTTTCCTCTAGGATTTTGCCTGTGCTTAGCTCCATTCCATTTCCATTTTATCCTGAAAAACTCCCCAGTCCTTAACGATGCATACCCATAACATGATGCAGCCACCACTATGCTTGAAAATATGGCGAGTGGTACTCAATAATGTGTTGTATTGGATTTGCCTCAAACATAACGCTTTGTATTCAGGACAAAAAGTAAATTGTTTTGCCACATTTTTTGCAGTATTACTTCAGTGCGTTGTTGCAAGCAAGATGCATTTTTTGGAATATTATTTTCACTCTGTCAATTAAGTTAGTATTGTGGAGAAAATACAATGTTGTTGATCCATCCTCAGTTTTCTCCTATCACAGCCATTAAACACTTTAAAGTCACCGTTGGCCTCATGGTGAAATCCCTGCGCTGTTTCCTTCCTCTCTGACAACTGAGTTAGGAAGGACGCCTGCATCTTTGTAGTGACTGGGTGTATTGATACACCATCCAAAGTGTAATTAATAACTTCACCATGCTCAAAGGGATATTCAATGTCTGATTTTTAAAAATTAATTTGTATCTACCAATAGGTGCCTTTCTTTGCGAGGCATTGGAAAACCTTCCTGGTCTTTGAGGTTGAATCTGTGTTTAAAATTCACTGCTCGACTGAGGGACCTCACAGATAATTGTATGTGTGTGGTACAGAAATGAGGTAATCATTCAAAAATCATGTTAAACACTAATATTGCACACAGAGTGAGTCCATGCAACTTATTATGTGACTTGTTATGAACATTTCTACCCCTGAATTTATTTAGACTTGCCAAAACAAAGGGGTTGAATACTTAT